CCAGCAGTGACAGAGATGACACCACCTACACCGGGTAAGGGTGCTTGAAGGTACTCCAGCAACACCCACCCAGGTACACAGAGCCTAAGCGGCAGCGTGGGCATCCCTTGGTCCCATCGAGTTGCACAGAAAATTAAACATTGTAAGTGGCTTAGAAACTCAGGCATACTAGCAGAGTTGTAGGCAGATTGGCAGCCACCTGACCCGACCCCTCACTCTGCACTCCTATGGGACACAAAAGGTTAGAGGTCCCCAGATGATGGAATGGGATGAGCAGGAAAGCTGAGGGGAAAGGAACAGCACAACTGATTGCGACAGGACCCTGCTATGGCAAGGAGACCCTGGAGGCAGCTCAACCTGGAGACGGGAAGGAGGCTAAGTTGGCAGGAGCTTAGTATCTCGATGAGGACAAAGCTGGCAGGAAGGCTGCCCAGCTCTGCTGTGTCAGCCAAAGCCTGCTGCCACCATAGCCAGAGGTCAGAGGCCAGCCCTCAGACCAGACAGCTGGTCTCCCTGGCATGCTTGTTAGGAAACAGATCTTCCCTCAGTAACACAACGTGGAGCCCTATGCTAGCTGATTGTTCCCCCAACCCACCCCTGCCAAAGATGCCAAGCGAACCAAGCCTGCCAGAAATGCCTGCAATTGGCAAGATTAAGTTCGATACCAAAAGCAGAAACGAAGGTTTGTGAGCTAAACTAAGCTCAATTATAAAACCATAAAGAAAGTTAAATTCTGCTCACCAGAGTTTTATGGTTGTAAAATGTGTACCTGCCACACAGGAACTGGAATTGTAACTCAAGACAATGGGTGATATATGCCGTGATTCCTGGAGAAGCAAAGTGTTTTATAGGTTCAGAAAAAAGGAAAAAGTGTACCTACTACAGTTTCAGAATCTGTCTCTGCTTATGGCGCAGCCTCTCCATCTTATGGATTACCTGACACTTTTCCTCAAACCCAACTTCCCACAACTGTATTACTTACGATTCTTTTCTGCCACAAGTGACAAAAACCCTACCTCAAATCAGCTTAAAGAAAGGAAAAATAATTTCTTTGATAACAGAAAACAACCCAGAGGACCCTATTGCCTTGGGTACAGGACTCACAGGGTTTTGTGATGTTGGAACTTGAACCTCTGGATTTCTGGGCCCTGCTTCCCTGAGATTAGGCCATGCTTGGCTCCATGTGCTCATGAGAGATTGGCCACAATTTAGCCCTCCTGTCTTTGCACATCCACACCAAAAGAAAGTGGAGGCATTTGTTCCAGATAGCCAACACCAAGGCTGGACTTAGGACTCCATGGCTCCCCATAATTATAAATACGCTTTAGTGTCTTTATTTTCACCTTGGGTTGCACCAGGAGTGGTAGGATGGAATTAAATTGGTGGGATTCCAAAAAGGTATCTTTGGGATTACAAATATAAATTTCTTGGACCGAGACATCGACCAAAAAGTGCTCACAACAATTGGTGCTCAATGTGGCCAGAACGCGCGACCTTCTCAACACAATGACCAGTAACTAAAATCAGGTGCATGTGATCCACTGAACCATGTGTGACCAATTTAGAGTGTTTGGATTGCAAAGCTGGGAGTGACTGATGTACTGCTGCTTACAACTCCATTTTTCCAGTAGTGGGAAATCCTCTCCACAAATCTCCATTCTTATATCTTGATTACCCCGTGAGCGAACATGTACAGGAAACTTCAAATGGCAGTGCACTGGGAGGAATCAATCACCATTGAAGACGTGACCATCACATTCACCCCAGAGGAATGGGCTCTGCTGGACACAGCACAGAGGAAGATGTACAGAGCTGTGATGCTGGAAACCATCAGTAACCTGCAATCCTTGGGGTGCAAATACTGCAAATCAGATTTTGTTCTTCACATGGATGCAACAGAAAATCAATGGCTGGTAGAACAAACAGCTTTCCCTAAGAAGCAGAATCCAGAAAAAAAGAACAGCTTTTATGAAGAGGGACAGATAACCACTGGACATATGAAAAGGAAGAAAATAAACACCATCAAGCCCAGGGAAAATTCACAGTGTGAACAGATAGATTTTGAAGGCAATCTGATTAGGAAAACCTTCAACTATCAGTCTGCATCCAGAAGACACAAGACGACTGAATCTGGAAATGAATTCTGTGTGTCGGGAGCAAACTTCAATCAATCTTCTAAATTTTATTGGGGTCAGAAAACACATACAGGTGAACCACAACATAAATGTCATCAATGTGTGAAAATGTACAAAAATTTAAGTAGCCTGAAAATTCATATGAGAATACACACAGGGGAGAGTCCATTTGAGTGCTTTGTATGTGGGAAAGCCTTCACTAAGAAGTATGATCTTAGAAGGCATGAGAGAACACATACTGGAGAGAAACCATATGAATGCCATCTATGTGGAAAATCCTTCACTCAAGTATCTCACCTTACTAGTCATGAGAGAACACACACTGGAGAGAAACCATATGAATGTAATGTCTGTAGAAAAGCTTTTGCTATTTGTAGTGACCTTAAAATTCATATGAGAACACACACAGGAGCAAAACCATACAAATGTAATGTGTGTCAAAAAACTTTTACTCACTGTAATACCCTTAAAATCCATAAAAGAACACACACAGGAGAAAAACCATATGAATGCCGTCTATGTGGGAAGGTCTTCAGTGAATTATCTTCCCTTACTATCCACGAGAGAACACATACAGGAGAAAAACCATATGAATGCCATCTATGTGGGAAGGCCTTCGCTCAATTATCTCACCTTACAAGGCATGAGAGAACACACACAGGAGAAAAACCATATGAATGTCATCTCTGTGGGAAGGTCTTCACTCAGTTATCTCACCTTACTATCCATGAGAGGACACACACAGGAGAGAAACCATACGAATGTCACCTATGTAGAAAAGCCTTCATTCAGTCATCCTCTCTTATTTGCCATGAGAGAACACATACAGGAGAGAAACCATATGGATGCCATGTATGTGGGAAGGCCTTCACTCAATCATCTCACCTCACTAGGCATGAGAGGAGACACACAGGTGAAAAACTATGAGTGTCATCTATGAGGGAAGGCCTTTACTTGATCATGTCACCTTACTAAAAATTAGAAAAAATGCACAAGAAAACACATATTGTTGTCACATGTGGAACAGACTTCCATGTAATCACCATGGTGGATATATGAGAACACAGGCAGGAGAGGAATCATATGCATGTCATCTGTGAGAAAGCTTTCACGCTATTGTCTTCAACATTTCACCATTGAGAAGACACATATAACAGAATATGTATGTTTTACAAATGTTTTACTTATTAAATAAATTCTCCACCAAAAAAAAAAAAAAAAGAAAGAAAGAAAGTGGAAGTGTGTTTCCCTGGTAGCTCCAACCAAATGTATAACTGATTCTCCTCAGCCTGCATGGGTGGGGCTCATGTCATGTGGCCATCAGGAAGCCCATCACTCTGGTCAGAAGGATAGCACTTGCTGATTGGTTTATACAGGAGTCTGCTTTACCCACAATGCGTGGACAACCAATGGTTCCCTGTGGTTCAAGGAGAGGATGCCAATGGCAAAAGCTACTGTTGTCCAGTACTCTCTCAGATTGCTCTTCCTTCCAAGGCAGAAAGACTCTTCCTGAGCCTGGAAATAGAAAAACTCTAGTGAGCTCTCTATATTGGTTAATGTCATTCACTGGGAATAATATAAGCCAATGTGAGCTACCCCAGGGGAAGGAAGGGGGAGAGAAGGAGAGAAAAGGAAGAAAAAAGGAAACACACCGTGACACCACAGACGCATCACCACGGTTCTAGGAAGAGGTTTTCATCAAGCCTTGGGAGAAAGAAGCAGTCCCTGAGAATCTCGGAACACTGTCTTTTCTCTGTCAGTCTTTCTGCCAGTTCAGGCCTGTCTTTCCTCTTGCTTTCTTCAGTGTTTCTTCTGCTTCTCTGCATGATGGCTTTGTGGGCAGCGAGAAGGTAGCACGAGGCGATTTCCTGCTTTTCCTTTCCCTGGCTTTTCCACCTCTGACCTCATCCCAGGCAGCAGGGCTTGGCTGCGCTCTAGCGAGCTACCCCTAGAAGAGGCAATGAGATTCTTGGTGTGGCTTTAGGGATGAAGGGTGTGCTCATTCCCGCTGACTGAGCTTGGGAGTTGTAAACTGGAGATCCTCCAGCTTTCTTGGTACTAAAATTCAAGACTTCACCAACCCATAGTGGAAGAAGAGTCAAGCACCTAAGGTAATCTAGATCTGGCTATAGTATTTAGGTCCTTGGGTCAGGCTAAGCATTTATTGAGACTTACCGTTAGATGTTATCATCAGTCTACTAGTTAGGGTTCACTAGAAGAACAGAAAAAACACATGAAATATATGTATAATTAAACAAGGGATTTATTAGGGAGGCTAACAGGACCTGAAGGGGAGGAGTCCCCAGAGCACTCTGTGAGGCAAAAGAATCCAAAATGGCCACCTGTGCACTGGAGGGCTGGAGGAAGCGGGATCAAAGGTCAAAGGTCAAAGGTTTACAGAATCACCAGTATAAATCTGTGTTGCAAAGCTAAAATGTCTGTTCTGTCAGGCTGGCAGAACTGAAGACTAGCATCCAAGGGCAATGGGAAAGACTGCTCTGAAAAAAAAAGGCAGACTCCCTTCTTTCTCTTTTCACTCTGCCCAGGCTACAAGCCTCGTGGATGTGCCACCCACATCCAGGGTGGGTCTGCCTACCTCAGGCTTCATTCTGCACATCAGCCCTCCACAGTCACACCCAGAGCCTTATTCATCTGCCAGGTGGCTCTTACTCAAGGCAAGTTGGCTGTGACACCATTCATGAGTGAGCCAATGAGTCCCCTTCTCTGTAAGCCAGCTGGACAAGCTGTCAACCACTACAGCCTGAAATCATTCTGAGGTATCATATGGCCATGTAGCCCAGAAAGTCCAAATTCCCAGAAAAAAAGGATCTCACTGGCCCAGTGTGGGTCAGGTGTCAATCCCAGTCCATCCAACTTCGGCCAGAGGCTTCTGTAACACCATCACGGGCTGGGCAGTGACAACAGAAAGGAGCATCTCTGGGAGCCCGACAGACATAGCACCATATACAGTGTGGCCCCGAGTGTTCAGCATTTACCTGCCCTCTCTGCACCTGCATTAGGAAGCATAATGTCAGCCACTTGGTTTATATTCTCAGTGGTTGACAAACTTTGCTAAGCCTGGAACTAAGAAAACATGGTGGTCTTCCGTTACCTGTGGAAATATATTTCAAGACTCCTGGGGGATAGTATCCAACCCAGGTCATACGTTTTACTATACATATATGCCTGTGACAGAGTTTAACTTATAAATTAGGCAAAGTAAAAGATTAATAACAATAAAACAGAGCAATCAAAACAATATACTGTAATAAAATTTATATGAATGTGGTCTCTTCACAAAATACTTCATACTTGTACTGCATTTCTGAACCATGTTTGAGCACAGCTAGCTAAATCCATAGAAAGTAAAACCAGAGGATAATGAAGGATGACTGTCATGGATGAATTTTGGAGGGGCTTTTTCTCTTCAAGAAAAGGTGGCAACTGGCACCTCAACTGGCAGAGAATAGGATTACTGTTTTGTAGAGAGCAGCCATGCTTTTCTCTGAGTCGTCAGCCTATTGGCTACAAGTGTCCCTGGCTACAGTGGTCTCCTTCTTGATGAGTGGCACCATTACCACAAAATGGGCTAAGCTCCACACTGCAACCCTCACCTGCAACAGGACAACATCTGGAGAAAACTGACAGGAAGTAACTGGATTGAGAGAAGCCATGAGGGCATGGCCCTTGGGATGGGATTAGTGTCCAAAGGAGTAGACAAAGCTCTCTTGACTGGAAGGACAGAGTAAGAAGGGCCACTCAGGCGAGAGCAAACAGGAAGCCCTCATGAGGACCTGACTGGGCTGGCACCATGATTTGCTACTTTTCCCCTGCAGAACTATAAAAAATATATTTGTATTTTTAAGCCACCTGGTCTGTGTTTGTCATAGAATCTTGAGCAAATTAAAACATCTTGCTCTAAAAAGTTACCTAAAGAGTCTTCTGGGGAGACAGGAGAGAGAAGCAAGCCTTTTTCTTAAAGTGAATATTTGCCAGGTCCAATGTGGGCCTAAATCTATTCTTAGACATCAGCCGAAGTTTTTCTCAGACACAGCTTACATCCGGAATGCAAATTGGATATGCAAATTAGTGAGGATGGTGGCAGCTCTGGGGTAAACAGGAACCAGGTGCCGGATCCTGAGGATGACAGCCAGAGGCAGGCAGCTGTACAGTACTGGATGACAAGTGGGAGGGGAACAAGATGCTGAGGTGAAGGTCAGGTAACTGAGTAACTCGTGCAGCTGGTTACCACAGGGATTGGTCAGGGCACAGTCAAAGAAACAGAGCCTGGGAGGAGGAGGAGAGACAACATCCAGGCATGTGCCTGTGAGCTTGCGTACTCCATGTCACACACCATGGATCACGTATAGTGTACACTTTGTACTGCGTATAATATAGTATATTCTATAATTAAACATCATATGCATTTCAGGTTAGAAGCACAGATTTGGCCTTGCATGGAGGCAGGGGCTGGCTACATTTCTAATGCTTTTAGCCTGGAGCCAGGTGCTGGAGCTTGGCATCTCTGAGCCCTTGTGAGCAGAAGATGGTACCTGCTAGACAGAGACCTGCATGAAGCGGTGCCCACAGGACAGACTGGGCCTTGGATTGTGCTGCTTCTTATTGGCCCCAACCTTAAGGATGCAGGCATCCTGAAGAAGTCTGGCTCCTTGCCATGGAGCTGCACATGCCAGCCCAGGACAGCTGATGCAGCCGTGGCTGCTGCTTCAGGCCACTGAAGCAACAAACTGGGGACAAGGCACATGAGCCACAGAAGAGCTATCACTCCACTTCCACCTTTCAGGAATCTCCCTTGAGACGTGACAAAAACACACAGGTGAGAGGGTCCTGGGAAATGTGGTCCAGCTTGGCCAACATTGCCATTGCCTGTGACCACACTATGGCAGCAGAGTAAAAAATAATAAGAGCGCTGGGCATGGTGGCTCAAACTTATAATCCCACAGTTGGGAGGCTGAGGCAAATGGATCACAGTGAGTTCGAGGCTGCCCTGAACTACATATCAAGACTTTTTCTCCAAAAAATTAAAAATACAGGCTGAAGATATAATACAGGCTTGAGGTAGGGTGACACTAAAGACACAACCAGATCTTTACATATGATACGCATGTGAAGCTTGTAAATAGTTGCAATTATCATGCCTCAATTAAAACTCAAATTAGATATATTTTGGTAGGATGTTTAAAATTTCTCCAGAACTCCAGCATAAAGTAGCCATTTGTTAGAATCATGTGTTCAGTGGGTCAAGAATTGGAACAAGTCACGCAAGCCACAGCTCCTCGCGGCTCCACGCCATTCTCCACAGCCCCAGCTCCCGTCCACTCCAGGGGTCCAGGTGGAAGCAGCAGCCACTTTATGAGCAGGCCTCAGAAGGCACAGAACACCACCTCTGCCGTCTTCTCCTGGCTGGACCGATCACAAGCCTCACTCATGCTCACGCGTGGGAAACACAGGCACAGTGAGGAGATGGCAGGCATGCTACAAAAGACAAAGTAGGGTGATGTACATGTTGTAGGTAGCTGTCATTCCAAGGTACAAACTGCCACAGTGACATTGGTGACCAGTGACTACGATTATCCCGTACAATAGAAGAAGTCATCCCAGTGTCATTTTGCTTCACTTGGATATCCATATCTTTTTATGTGTAAGACAAAAAAATTCCACCTCCTTCTATGGAGAGCTTGCCTGCTTCCTAAAGTCCTAACACTGCAATAAACCAAGACCATTCAGGGCCAAAAATAGGTAATGATGAGACTTTCTTGATGCATTGAGACACTTTTCATTCTAAATATCAAGTACCCAAGTCAAACTGGTTTAAAGCACAAAAGAGAACTTACTTGATAACTGGAAAGAATATTTCTGCTTTTGGGCAGGGTTTGGTGCAAGGATTAAGAATTCTGACTCACCTG